GCAAAAATGAAAGTGGACAAACACTTAGGGACGAAGGAAGTATGTCTAAAATGACTCAAATGCTACTGATATATTTGCTTACACCAGTTTTGTTGAAGCAGTTACGATACTCTATTGGTAAACATGAGGATTTCTACCCTTCTAACTACTGCAAACCCTTAACCCCAACCTATATCTCCCTGCCCCTCTCCCTATATCTGGCAGTGTGTTTCTGATAGTATAGTGTAGAGAGAGATGTAGGGGGGGTAAGAGGGTGGGTTGGGTTGGGATAAGGGTGGGGGTTAGGGAAATAGGAAGTACTCCGTATGATTTTTACCGATGAAGCACTGTATTTGTAGTCTGTATATATTCCAAACAAACTAGTATAAGAAAATCATACCAATCATCCTATTCTTATCTTCCAGGCGTTTGACTCCATTATTCAATGATCCAATCCTTATCTTCCATTTTCGAAAATCATTACTAAACCCTGAACAAATAACCAGGGATCTAGGTGAAATATATGTTTGATATGCAGTGTAATGTATTTATAGTTAACTTTTGTATAATATTTCTGTTTCTACGACCATCACAAATATTATACGGAGTATATGCACACACATTGCGTCAATTTGTCGTAGATTGTTGCTGAATTGTTGTAGAAGATGTTCATCAGAAGATGTTTCGTTGGTAAAGATTTCCGGCATCAATTTGCACAGAACGATTTGTTTTGTTAAATTTTTAGGTGGTGTAGGCGAGGGAGGGGGGGGGGGGTTATATATTCTGATGATGATGATGATGATTGTGAGAACGTGATCTGTTGACGACAAGGTTTTTATTTTCCCTGTGTGTGAAGGAGATCATGGCTAAGATTATTTGTCTCATAGCCCATATAATTTAAGCAAGCTTAAGGGGAAACAACATCAATTTTTCTGAAGGCCTAAAGGGCAAAAATGGAAGTATTAAATTACCTTTGATTATGTCTAGCTGAAAAAAGAACTTACTATTTCAGTAGGAAACTTTCATCTGAAAGAGCTCTTTGTGTTTTCTAATCCTAAGAAAAACATTGCATTGTCCACAAAGAGAGATTTTGTTTAATTATGTGTTGCTCTGCCAATTATATCTTCATTACCCATCACTCCTCTCAGTCTCAGTCCACAAAGAGATGGCTTTTCTTTTGGCATAATCTTTTCTGGATTTCACTTGATCTCGTTGACTAATTTGTGGATTCTTGTCATGAAGGCAGAGGTTTCCTAGATGTTTACTTGATTCAGAATCTGCAGTGTATTTGAAACTTGGTGTTGATTGTCCATAGAAGCTGATTTTGAAATGGTGACACATTTTACATATAGAGACTGGTGTGTAATATCAATGATTATGAAGGCAGGATAGGCATATTTTATTCAAGAGCATCTAGTTGTTGCAGACTATTATTGTCTGGATTCTACATTTCTCAGCAGTGGGCTGGAGCTGTGCAGGTTTTACTTACAACAATGCCAATTGGGTAATGCACGTGGCAGATGTTATTTCGTTGCAGTTTATTAAGGCAAGGCTTAGGAACGGAATTTGTGGAATAATTATAGTGCAGACATGGGTTTGCCTCAAGTAGCTTGTGATAGTCATGCACCAGAAATGGCCTCACCTTTGAGCACATCTACACAAACACCTCCCAGATTTGTAGCTATAAGCAGCTGTGATATGAGTAGGATGAACAGTGGTCAACTTAGCGGACGAACTCCAACTGATTTCGCTTGCACTTCATCAAGGGAAATCTTAAATGATCCGGATGTTCTCTCTATTCCTAAAGATGGAATAATTAGCATGCATAACTTGAGGATTGATTCTGCCGAAAAGAATGGCTTCTTTACTCACAACGTTGGAAGGGAAATTCAAAATCCAGCTTCGAGGATTGTGGGTTTTGAGTCTACATCTGTGAGGCCAGTCAATTTGTATGGACCAAACCCATCAGATAGTATAAATCCTTCTGCTACAGTTTGCATCACAAACAAGATTCTGGAGACAAGTGGTTCAGCGGTTAGAAAACGATTATTTTCACCTTTGAATGACATGGTTCTTCCTGATCAATGTTTTGGTGAATCTCTAGATGTTGGCGGTACCACTAGTTTAATGAAAACGGCCTATATAGGCAATGATGCAGATATCATTGTCTTACAAGAACACAAGAAAGCAAATATGAGGATTTCAAAAAACTTTAAAGTTTTGTCCACACCGAATGCATTGGGAAGTTACAGCACTCCAGATGTAAATTGTAATTTGAACTCCACTATGTCTACTATTATGGATGGCTCCTTGTTTGATGATGAGAAGATATTTTCTAGTGCTCTTTTTACCCCTACCTC